AAAAATACTGTCTTTTTAATCTCTTTGACAGAATTTCTTGGAAGCTCTTTAGGTCATGATAGTGAAACTATCACGTGAAATGGTCAGCCTCAGTGCCAGCCCTCAGTGGTCAAAGGCAGTGATCAACACACACCCAGATTCTGGCACCAGGAAGCCACACTGAGAATGTGGGCTGCAAAACACTTGGCTACCTGCCATGGGGCTGGGGGATGGAGAATGGTAGGATCTACATGGAACACTGAAATTCACTAAAATTTACCAACCTCTTCATCAAGCTCTTTACTGGACTATGCAAATGTTCATCTCTTGTTCCAAAATAGTTGCTTAAGATAGATCTTGCCAGCTCAGTTATAGCTTTGGTGAAGAGATGTATTCCTGGAGCTTCGTACCCAACCATCTTCCATCTAGGCCTTGGTTTTTCTCAAGTTTACCTGGGAGGCTTGGAATAGATCAATGAGTCCCAGCCTAGAATCACCTGGAGAGCTTTAAAAACTACTGATGCAAAGGTAGATTTCCCATGTCAGGAAATCTGATCACGTGTCTCTTTTTAACAATCTCCCAGGGGATTCTCATGCTCAGGGCTGAGGACCTGGGAGAAGGTCTATCTCAGCCTCAGGGCCTCACCATCTCTACCACATGCAGAATTCGACTGGGGACCTCAACTAGGCAGATGTGATGCAGCTGGTCTGAGCTGGGATCTGACACTGCTTTTCCAATAGATCCCAGATGGTGGCCCTGCCGCTGCTACATGGACCCCTGCTTGAGGAGCAGAATCCTTTCCAACTGTTTATCTTCTATGTTTTTCTTAATTTCTTGAGACTCTGACACTTAGAGAACCCGTTCTAGCCTCAAAGCAAAGCACTTTCCTTCCCATCAGAGCAGCAGGAAAGGTTATCTGGGAGACCACCACGGACACGCACGAGACTCTTCATATAGCCTGACAGTTTCACGTGAGGAGATTACTTACCAAATAGTTTAACCAAATGCTCTTCTAGCTTATTTGAACTCAATGCAAAGTTGGCATCTCTCAAGCTCTTTTGTTGAGGATAACCTATGGGAAAGTAAACTTCAGCTGTGAGCCAATCTTTCACTGGATATGCATGTAATTCTTTTTAAATCGATACACTCATGCATGGTATTTGAGAGGAACATCCTGCAGTTGGCCTGCTCTAGGGGAAATAGCACTGGACTTGGGTTCCAGTACAGATTTTTTTTTTTTTGCGGTACGCGGGCCTCTCACCGCTGCAGCCTCTCCCGCCGCGGAGCACAGGTTCCGGACGCACAGGCCCAGCGGCCATGGCCCACGGGCCTAGCCACTCCACGGCACACGGGATCCTCCCAGACCGGGGCACGAACCCGCGTCCCCTGAATCAGCAGGCGGACTTTCAACCACTGCGCCACCAGGGAAGCCCCAATTGCTTTTCTTTTAAAAAGAAATCAGCTCCATATTAAAGGAATTGAATTTTTGGATAAAAACCTTCCCACAAAGAAAACTCAAAGCCCAGATGGCTTCACTTGTTAACTCTATCAATAAGGAAGAAACATCATCAATTCTACACAAACTCTTCTGAAAAACTGAAATTGAGAGAGTACTTTCCAATTCATTCTATGAGACGAGCATTATCCTGATAACAAGCCAGACAAAGATATTACAGGAAAAGAAAAGTATAGGCCAGGATCTTTCATAAACATAGATGTAAGAATTCTTAACAAACTTTTAGCAAATTGAATCCAACAATATTTTTTTAAAGGATAATATATCATAACTAAATGACATTTATTCCAGGAATGTAAAACTGATTGAACATTCAAAAATAAATCAGTGTAATTCATCATGTTAATACAAAAATCATATGCTCATCACAACAGATGATCAGAAAAAGCATTTGACGAAATCAAACATCCATTCAGGATAAAACTCCCATTAACTAGAAAACAAAGGGAATTTTCTCAATTTGATAAAGAGTAGTTATACTCTTTATCGGGGGATTCCCTGCTGGCGCAGTGGTTAAGAATCTGCCTGCAAATGCAAGGGACACAGGTTCGAGCCCTGGCCCAGGAAGATCCCACATGCCATGGAGCAACTAAGCCCGTGCGCCGCAACTACTGAGGCTGAGCTCTAGAGCCCACAAGCCACAACTACTGAGCCCACGTGCCACAACTGCTGAAGCCCACGTGCCTAGAGCCCGTGCTCCACAACAAGAGAAGCCATGAGAATGAGAAGCCCACGCACCGCAACAAAGAGTAACCCCTGCTCACCTCAACTAGAGAAAGCCCACACACAGCAATGAAGACCCAACACAGCCAAAAATAAATAAATAACTAAACTTATTTTTTTAAAAGTAATATATATCGGGAAATCCCTGGGTGTCCAATGGTTAGGACTCTGCACTTCCACTGCAGGGGGCACGGGTTCCATCCCTGGTTGAGGAACAAAGATCCCACAAGCTGCCCAGCGCAGCCAAAAAAAACAAAGGGATATATCATAAAGACAGACATATAGACCAATGGAATAGAATAGACCACCCAGAAATAAGCCCCCACATATATGGTCAAGTGATTTTTGTCAAGGATGCTGAAACCTTTCAGCAGGGAAAGGTAAATCCTTTCAACAAATGGTGCTGGGAAAACTGGACATCCACGTGCAAAAGAATGAAATTGGACTCTTACCTAACCTCATATACAAAAATTAACTCAAATGGGTCAAAGACTTAAATATAAGAGCAAAAACTACAAAACTCTTAGAATAAAACATAGGGCAAAGCTTCAGGACATTGAATTTGGCGATGATATCTCAGATATGACACCAAAGGCACAGGCAACAAAAGAAAAAAATAGGGAAATTAGATTTCATGAAAATTTTTAACTTTTGTGTATCAAAAGACATTATTAACAGAGTAAAAAGGCAACCCATAGAAAATATTTGCAAACCACATATTTGATAAGGGATTAATATCCAAAATATAGAGAACTCCTAAAACTCACCAAAAAAAACAATTCAAGGGCTTCCCTGGTGGCGCAGTGGTTGAGAGTCCGCCTGCCGATGCAGGGGACACGGGTTCGTGCCCCGGTCCGGGAAGATCCCACATGCTGTGGAGCGGCTGGGCTCGTGAGCCATGGCCGCTGAGCCTGCACGTCCGGAGCCTGTGCTCCGCAATGGGAGAGGCCACAACGGTGAGAGGCCTGTGTACCGCAAAAAAATTAATAAATAAATAAATAAAACTAAACTCAGGACTTAATTGCCACTAAAAAAAAAGAAAAAAAAATTTTAAAATGGGTAAAGGGGACTTCCCTGGTGGCGCAGTGGTTAAGAATCCGCCTGCCAACGCAGGGGACACAGGTTCGAGCCCTGGTCCGGGAAGATCCCACATGCCACAGAGCAACTAAGCCCATGCGCCACAACTACTGAGCCTGTGCTCTAGAGCCCGTGAGCCACAACTACTGAAGCCCGTGCACCTAAAGCCCGTGCTCCTCAACAAGAGAAACCACGGCAATCAGAAGCCCGCACACCACAATAAAGAGCAGCCTCTACTCACCGCAACTAGAGAAAGCCCGCGCGCAGCAACGAAGATCCAACACAGCCCCAAAAAAAAAAAAAAATGGTAAAGGACTTGAATAGACATTTACCCAAAGAAGATATACAAATGGCCAATAAGCAAATGAAAAGATACGCAACATCATGAATCATTAGAGAAATGCAAATCAAACCTATGATGAGCTACCACCTCATACCAATTAGGATGGCTACAATCCAAAACAAAAACAAAAACAGAAACTAACCAGCGTGGTGAGGCTGTGGAGAAACTGGAACCCTTGTGCACTGTTGTTGAGAATGAAAAATGATGCACCCACTATGGAAAACAGTATGGCTGTTCTTCAAACAATCAAAAATAGAATTATAATATGATCCAGCAATCCCATATCTGGTTATATATCCCAGAGAATTGAAAGCAAAGTCTCAAAGAGGTATGTATACACCAATGTTCACAGCAGTGTTATTTACAATAGCTAAAATGTGGAAGCAACCCAAGAATTCATCAGTAGGTGAATGGATAAGCAAAATGTGGTATATACATACAATGGAATATAATTCAGCTGTAAAAAGGAAGGAAGTTCTGTCACATGGGGAATGGGGAGTTACTGTTTAATGAGTATAGAGTTTCAGTTTTATAAGGTGAAAAAGCTTCTGGAGATGGATGGTGGTAATAGTTGTACATTATGAATGTATTTAATACCACTGAACTGTACACTTAAAAATGGGTTAAGAAAAAGAATCTAAAAAAGAGTGGATATACATGTGACCCAGCAATCCCACTACTGGGCATATACCCGGAGAAAACCATAATTCAAAAAGACACATGCACCCCAATGTTCATAGCAGCACTATTTACAATAGCCAGGACATGGAAGCAACGTAAGTGTCCGTCAACAGAGGAATGGATAAAGAAGATGTGGTACATATATAGAATGGAATATTATTCAGCCATTAAAAGGAACAAAATTGGGTCATTTGTAGAGATGTGGATGGACCTAGAGAGTGTCATACAGAGTGAAGTAAGTCAGACAGAAAAACAAATATCGTATATTAACACATATATGTGGAATCTAGAAAAAATGGTATAGATGATCTTATTTGCAAAGCAGAGAGACACAGAACAAGTTAAAAACACCAAAATTTAAAAGTTTACATTGTAAAAAGAATTTGCCCTTCATTTCCCCACATTTATGGTGGCCCCTTTCCCATATTAAAGAGTCTTGAAGGTGCCTCATACACTTTTCAGAGCCATTCACACATAGAACATTCTGGACACTGTGACTGGCTTTCTTTGCTTTGACTTAGCCATATGTCCTGATGTATTTCATATCAGATTATATATAACTCCTTCATTATCTTAAACAATTGCACGTTGACCCATTTTATGAATGCATAGACACCAAATACAAATGAACACCTACCTATGATTCTATTTGCATAAAATTCCAAAATAGTCAAAACTAACCTGTGGTGACCGGTAGAATGCAGGATAGTGGTCACCTCGGAGGAGGAATAGGGCAGTGAACGAGAGGGGTGGGAGGCTTCCAGGGAGCTGGTCATGCTCTGATTCTTAAACTCAGTGATGGTTACGGGCGTGTCCACATGTTAATAATTCACTGAAATGTACATTTACGATTTCTGCACTCTTCTGTATGATGTCGTGCTTCAATTTTACCGAATTTAATCTCACAGTCTAGTGGGAAAGTTATACAGAGCGGCAAATAACTATGGCTCAGTTTGGTCAATGAATTCAGGACTCGGTATCTTCTTGCCCTGTTGCAGCAGTTGACCCCAACGCGGCTGGAGGCTGACCGCAAGCTAATCCCAGCTGCTGCCAGCTGGATAACCTTGGGCAAGTTACACACGCGTGAGCCTCCTCGGTTCCCAAATCTGTAAAATGGGAATAATAATACCTCATACAGTTATTGCAAGGGTGTAATATAGTAATCTACGTAAAGTGGGTAGGAGTGCTCCGCAAGCACATAGCAGGTGTTCCATTCACTCCAGCTACCGTTGCCACGAAACTGTCGTTTTTACAAGGAAAAGGATCCTCCTCAGTGCTCAATAAAGAAATGCTTTGGGTGAAATATCCACCACCGGTCTCCTCGGGGACGGCGAGCTCACGAAGAAGCGTGGTCGGAGGTGCTGAAGCTCGGGAAAGCAGTCTCCCTGGACAAGCGACCTAGCAGCCCACCGCTCTCTGACCGCGTCCTCCTTAAGCGCGGGGCAATGACGTCACCCCCCACACGGTGCAGCCTACCTTGGAAGCTCCCCAGCGATTCCTCCGGGCCGTCTCCATTGGCTGGCCAGGACAGGCGGCCCCGCCCCTTTGCCCGCCGCGGGACCCGGGGGCCCGCCGTCAATCTGCCCAGGTGGGAGCGGTGATTGGCCGCGGGGCCCGCCCCCCAGAAATCTCCGCCGGGCTTGCGTAGGCTGCGCGCTCGGGGTGGGAGGGGCGCAGCACCGCGTCAGGAGCCGCTGCTGTCCGGGTCAGCGGGCCAGGCCGCCGTTGGTCACTCCTGCAGCCCGCCTGCTGGGCAGGGCCGGCCCGGCCCGGCCATGGAGTCCTACGACATCATCGCCAACCAGCCCGTGGTCATCGACAACGTGAGGCTCGGCAGCCGGGGGGAGGGCGCACGCAGCAGTGCACGCGGGAGTGCACGCGGGGACCCCCGACAGACTCGGCTGGTCCCTAGCTCACTGCCCGCCCGCCACCCCTGCCGGCGTACCCACGTGGCCCTGTAGTTGGGGCCACGGGGCCAGCCCCCCGCTGGCGCGGCGGAACCCCAGTCCGAGCCCTCCCTGAGCCGGGCGGGGAGGTCCGGAGACGAAGGGGGTCCCATCGTTCTGGCGGCCCTTGGTCAGCATCCGGAGAGGTGGGGTGACAGTCGGGCGGCCCGGCCGAGGCACCCCGGACCTTTCTCAGTTGAGAGTGGGGTTGCTGGGCAGGCTTCGACCCCAGCCCCTTTACCTCTTCTCAGGCTGTGGCCCTGGCTGCCCTCTTGCACACTGCTGGCCCCATCTTTTGGAGAAGGTTGGCCTGGGGTCCTCTACAACAGCTCTTTCCAAGTGCTGCACCCCCAGGCAGCACTACCAGAGTGGGCAGGCCCTACTGCGCCCTTTTCCTGGGACTGGCGAAAATGCAGGTTAAGCTCTGCCCACCACATAGCCGCCACCACCTGGCTGGCCACTTGGCTACTTTGACCCTCCCCCTTAGTGCTCCCCGAGCCAAGCAGAAGTTCCACAGCCGGCAGGGCAGTGGAGAGAATTCAGGACTACTCTTCCCAGGACCCATAGCAGTTTGGGAACATTGTTTGCAAACCTCAGAGGAAAGTTGCCTGGCTTCATTGTGGTTTGTCCTTCAGCACTGGGGCTCAGCATGTTTTCTGGTCCACGGGAAGAAAATGAAGGGCAGGGATCTGTGGATCTGCCCCTAGCTGGGTATCTGCCTCTGGTGTGTGGGCCTTGGAGTTTTTGATAATGACTCACTTCTCTTTCTGGGATCTGTCTCCCTGTAATCCCTGAACGGCTGTCTTTTTTGGAATACCCATGTACGTGCCCTGAGTCACAGCAGGGGATGTTTAATAAGGCTAGAGCTGGGCTTGAAGCATGCTCTCCACCAGGCTACAGGAAAGATCAGGCCAGTTCCTTACTTGGCGGGCTAATCAACAAGTTAATGAGTTTAGAGGGCAACCTGTTTGGTTCCTCTGGGCTTCCAGCCCCTCCTCTGTAACTTGGGGATGTTTATTTCTGCTCTGCAGACCCCAAGGGTTGTGATGGAGATCTATGGGAAGAGAGGTTGAGATGCTCATTCCTGCAGTGAGTGGGAGGTTTCTAGATGCCAGGTTCCCTTTAAGATATTCTAAGTCCAGCTTCCATGCTGGAGCAGTGGCAAGACCAAGCTGTCCTCCTGTAGTCTCTGGAGAAGCCACTTGAGGATAGGTGCCAGTTGTCCCAGTGAACCCAGTGATCTTCCCCAGCGGGTCCTGTATGTGGCCCGTGGTTGCTGAGGGGAGGGTGCCAGAGAGTGTTGCAAAAAGCTTATGGGTTGCTTCTAGCTGGGTTTTGGGAGTAGCTTGTGCTGCTATGGAGTCCTCCTGCCTGGAGCTGACCTTGGAGTGTACAGACGAGGATGTACTTCGTGGTTCCTCCGTCTCCACACTAGTGACACTTTGGCCTAGATAATTCTTGGTTATGTGGGGCTGTCCTGTGCCTCTTAAGATGTGTAACAGCACCCCTGGCCTCTACCTAGAAGCGAGTGGCAGCCTCCGCTCCCCAGTCTCCAGACATTGTCAAATTTGGGGGAGGGGATGCAAAATCGCTCCCGGTTTTGTACCACTGGTGTACTTGTAAATGGCCTTGCCCTCTTGGCAGGATCTCAGGCTGCCACCCCGGGCTGCCATGGTGGGGCAGCAGCCCTCTCCATGGCAGGGCACTGCCTTCATGTGGAGGTGAATGTTGGCAGCTAAACATTGTTTTTCTTTGCAGGGTTCGGGGGTGATCAAGGCTGGCTTTGCAGGAGACCAGATTCCCAAATACTGTTTCCCAAACTAGTAAGTGTTTCTCAGGCAGCATCCCTAACCCTTCGGTTTGCTTCCGCAGAGAACGTGGGTCCTGTGTCACAGCTCTCTTTGAGGCCAACTCTTGTCCCCACCTGTAGGGAAAACTCCAGATTTGTGAAGCTGTTGCTCTTAAGGGTGCTGGAAGGAGAAGACATGTGCTCTGGGCTTCCCCCTCCTCTTTGGAGGCTAATTTTGGTCCCTCCTTTAGCCAGGAAGGAGGAGAAGCCACCAGCATTCCTCTCGGGACAGGGTGTGGTAGCAGCAGCAAGAATAAGAGAGAGACATCTCCAGGAGAGAGACCTAGACTCAGAGGAAAAAGTGGGGAGTTAATACCACCCCTTCCTCCCGGGAAGTGTTTTCTTCAGGGCCCATTTATTTTCAGACTCTAGAAAATATTTTGTTCAGTCAAGGAGGGTCTTTGCCTGAATGGTGCCAGTGGTGGCAGAGGTAAGGGGGAGGTGAAACCTGGAGAAAGCCTGGAGTGCTCCTCCGGCCACTGTAGCCCATCGGGAAGTTTTCCCTCGGCCGTGTCTCGTCTCAAATCCGGGAGGTTTTAGGGTTTAGTGGCCCAAGCCGGGGTGAGGGAGTCCTAAGGCCCCTGAAATGGCTGGCTATATCAAGACAGAGCCAGCCTAAAGCATCCAGTGGGGCCTCAGCTTTCCTTTTGAACTCACGTTGAATGTAATTAAAGGTTCCTCTTGATGTGCAGGGAACTTGGGTCAGATTTTGTAATGGTAGCCCATCCACTCTGCCAAGAATTGCATCTCTGTTCTGGAAGCCCTGGCAGTGGGAAGGGGCAGGACTGACTGAGTGAGAGAGGGGTGTACGAGGGAGCCACAGCCCAGTTCCCTGGGGCCACCCCGCCTTGGTCTGCCCTCCTGAAATCAAGAGCGTGGGCTGAGTCATCGTGGCTACAGAAGCTGACCCTCTGCCAGGGCTGACATTACAGAGCTCTCAGCTGTCTCTGGGAGGGCTGGTGGGAAATGGAAGTAACACCTCGTCTTCTGACCCTGAGTCTTCTGTCCTGCCAAGGCCTACTCTGTAGTCCCATGGCCCATAGGCCTAGGTTCTGACCTTTGCCCCGTGGCCACCTCCTGATGCTTTGAGTACAGTTACCCTCTTGAACATTGGAGTTGGACTTTGGTCTTCCTGGACTGGGCTCAGCTGTGCCCCCTGCCCACCTCCCTGACCTCTCCTGTCTTCGCAGTGTCGGACGCCCCAAACACATGCGGGTGATGGCTGGAGCCCTGGAAGGGGACCTCTTCATTGGACCAAAAGCAGAGGTAATACCTGTGGAACCTGCCTTTTTCTGGGTTTTGGGTCTTCATTGTCCCAGGAGCCTTGACTGGTGATCAGAGCTGTACCGCCAGAGAGGGCCCTGGGCATCTGTTCTCTGAGGCCATCTGCTGGGTGCCCTCCTGGCTCCAGGATCCAGGCTGCAGCTCAGCGGTACTGCACCATGGTCCCTTTGCTCTGTGCGATGGGGCCATTGTTCCTGTATAGGGCAGCAGAGTTAGACCATTTCACATGCCCTGTCTTTTAGAAACTACAAAGGAAAGAACTGGTTAAAATGTGACTTAAAAGTCTGAATCACTGGGACTTGATGACCTGAGTGAGAGGGCCAGCTCTTGTGCTCCAGCTGGGGAGACACCTAGAGGCTGCACGGCCAGATGAGGCCCTTGGGAGGAGGAGTGAATGGGGCCCTTGGGAGGAGGCCCAGATGCACGGCCAGATGAGGCCCTTGGGAGGAGGAGTGAATGGGGGTGAGGGTGGCAGAGATAACAGGCAAGTGCAGTTTAGGCACCTGGGGTGTCTACGGTGTGGGGTGCCGAGGGCTCGGGGTGCAGATAATGGGGCTCTCAGGAGGTGGGGTCAGGAGGAGCCGCGGCTGTGGGTGAGAGGCCAAGTGGCGCTGGGCAGGAAGGGGCACGTTTGGGGGGAAGTTGAAGGGCAGGTCCGCGTGAGAGGCGCAAAGAGGTGGCTCACGGCATCCAGCTGTGCCTGGGAGGAGCGGTGGCAGCACGTGACCGCAGGAGGGGACCAAGTAGGATCGGCCTACGTGGGGGCTCCTGGCACTGAAGTGGTGGGGGATGGAGGTCAGGCTGTGCTGGCCGTGAGTGTAGAGGACGAAGGGCTGTGGAGGGAGGGAGGGGACTGCAGGGTGGGAGGGAGCACTCTGCCACCCTCTCTGGTCCTGGCCTTGGAGACTGGCTGGGCTCTGAGAGCCTGAGAAGCAGTTGGACAGATGAGCCTGTGCTGGGTTCAGGACCTGTCACAGGGCATGGGGACACCCGGCGAGCGGATGAAGGGGCAGCTCCCAGGCGGGCAGGGAGCAGTTGCTGGGTGAATGTCTGGTGCCACAGCGGGCCTCCCCCCTCCGCAGGAGCACCGGGGGCTGCTGGCCATCCGCTACCCCATGGAGCACGGCGTGGTGCGGGACTGGAACGACATGGAGCGCATCTGGCAGTACGTCTACTCCAAGGACCAGCTGCAGACCTTCTCCGAGGAGGTGGGGCAGTGGCCCCTCCCGCTGGGGGGCCCGGTTCTCCCTGCGGTGTCCTCTCCCTGCCCGCGGCGTCCCAGTCAGGCTTCCTCGTTTCCTCTGGCTTTGTCAGGGCCTGCCGCCTCTGTGTTGCGTGGGCCTGGGTCCACACAGTCCGTGGCTGCCGAGCAGAATTTTCCAGGGAGCGCTGGATCTTTGGAAGAGTAAAACTACCGGCAGATGGTGGGCTTGTGCCGTCGGGAGGGACGGCAGGCCGCAGCGTCACGTGCTCACAGGGGCGGGTGGCTCTCTGGAAGGACCATTGCAGCGCCAGCATGCTGTCTTTGCATCTGCCGGCAACTCTGGCGTCCCTTGCAGCATCCTGTTCTTCTCACGGAAGCTCCGCTCAACCCATGTAAGAACCGGGAGAAGGCGGCAGAGGTGCTCTTTGAGACCTTCAGCGTGCCAGCCCTGTTCATCTCCATGCAGGCCGTGCTTAGCCTGTGAGTGCGCCCTCAGCCCCGCGGCCCCTCCACCTCCGTCCTCCCTGGGGGCCGCCTCCTGCTCGGGGTGACCCGGCGTCTGACTTCCCTGTAGAGACAGCCCCCTCATGACCGGCCCTTTAGGGAGTCTCGCGGGTCCCTTTTTCAGACCAGATGATGCACATGTCCCGGGGTCCCTTCCAGGGGTGAGGAGGTCCCCATGCCTCAGTGGCTGAGGTGAAGGGATGCTGACCTGGTGACAGGTATGCAACAGGACGCACGACGGGAGTCGTTCTGGACTCAGGGGATGGGGTCACTCACGCCGTCCCCATCTACGAGGGCTTTGCCATGCCGCACTCCATCATGCGGGTGGACATTGCCGGCCGCGACGTCTCCCGCTACCTCCGGCTGCAGCTGCGCAAGGAGGGGGTTGACTTTCACACCTCGGCAGAGTTTGAGGTTGTCCGGACCATCAAAGAGGTGACGCAGGGCAGGAGGTGGGGAACGGGGCGGGGGGTGGTCGGACCCGGCGTAAGGTTGAGCCCTGGGTGCGGGTGTCCCGGTTGCCGCCTCCTGAGGGCTGTGTCCCCGCTCACTGCAGCGGGCCTGCTACCTGTCCATCAGCCCGCAGAAGGATGAGGCTCTGGAGACAGAGAAGGTGCAGTACACCTTGCCAGACGGCAGCACCCTCGACGTAAGTTGCCAGGCCGGCCCCGGGCGGGGGCAGGAGTGATGCCAGGACCTGGAGGAGGAGGAGGAGGAGGAGGCCTGTCTGCCTCAATCTTGTGTTCCCAAGGTGGGGCCAGCGCGTTTCCGGGCCCCCGAGCTGCTGTTCCAGCCAGACCTGATAGGGGATGAGAGCGAGGGGCTCCACGAGGTGCTGGCCTTCGCCATCCACAAGTCTGACATGGACCTTCGCCGGACGCTGTTCGCCAACATCGTGCTCTCCGGTGGCTCCACACTTTTCAAAGGTACCACAATTGGGAGGTGGTAGTATGACTTGGAGGCCAAGGGCAGCTGGACCCTCAGACTGCATCCCACTTCCTAGAAGCCTGGGAGATGGCCCATTTCCTGTTGGATTTTTGGGTGCTCAGTTTTTGGTTTTGTTTTTTTTAAGAGAAAGATTTAAAATTAAATTTTGTTTACTTTGTAAATAGGTGATAAGTTTAACGAGGTCTAAAATGTATTAGATGAAGTCTGCCTTCTCCCATTGTCCTGGTCACCCAGTTCCCTCCCCACAGGAATTGTTAGTTTCTCAGGTAACACCTGTGCATGAATAAGCACTCCCTTTTTACACAGACCTTAGTGTACTGAAGCTCCACGCCATGTATTTTTGACTTTGCACCACATCCAGAAGATCTTTCCTAGAGTGTAAGTTCTCTTATCTGGCCTTATGGGATGGATGTGCCATTTAATTGTTAACCTGCGGATGGCCTTGGGGATGGTGAAATTCTTTCTGATCACAAAGATGCTCCAATGGTTGACCTCATACACTGTTACTTCACGTGATGAGAATATACCTAAAAGAAAAATCCTAGGACTAGAATTGCTGAGTAAGAGGGTGCGTATGTGCATTTGTTACCTGGTAGATATCACCAGAGTTTCCCTCCTGAGAGGCTGTGCCACTTTCACCCCCATCAGTTATGGACGAGAGTCCCCCGGCGCCATCCCGACACTGTGTGTGTTTGCCCATCTGCTGGGTAGAAGTGGCAGGCGTGTCCTCCTGACTCGTCGTTCGCCTTTGCCTTTGCTTCTGGCGGTTTTGGCTCCAGAGCAGCGCGTGAGGGAGAGTGTAGGGGTCGGGCAGAGCTGAGTGACTTGGGGTTCTATCTCATGCTGCCTTCCTGAGGAAGGAAGCTGGGCCCACCTGTAGGCATCCTGCTGGATCTTTTATGCCTTTGGGGTGGCTTGCCCTTACCCTTAATCCTGGCAAGAATGGCAAAAACAAGCGTGGCAGCACCTGGGGCTGGGGCACCAGAGCTTGGATGCGGGGGAGCTAGTGGTAAAGGGTCGGATGTGGACCCCCAGTTCAGCCAGCCTTGTGTTCACAGGCTTTGGCGACCGATTACTAAGTGAAGTAAAGAAGCTTGCCCCCAAAGACGTCAAAATCAAGGTGAGGTTATGGGGAGTCCCCATGGGGCATGGGGGTGCTGGGCAACCTGGACCCAGGGAGGAAAGAGCAAGAACCACCCTCAGATGCCCTCTGCCTTCCAAGCCCAGCCCAGCCCTGCTGCTCCCCCTGCTGCCAGCTGAGGCACTTGCTGCCTGGCCTTGGGCACTGGGAGAAAGGCCCCCCCTCCCTGAGGCTGGGACTGGGGCTTCTGTGCGGGGGTGGGGCAGTCACGTTGCCGCTTGCTCCCTCTAGATCTCAGCCCCTCAGGAAAGGCTGTACTCCACGTGGATCGGGTGAGGCGGGGCTCACGGGGAGGGCTCTGGGAGGAGACCATTGTGCCCTGGACACTTCTCCCCGGGTTGGCCCAGGCCAGGTGGAGGTGGGTGGGTTTCCCTCCCAGGTAAGGGAAGTGGAGCTCTGGGCGCCCAGGGAGGGCGGTTGGCTCAGCCCTCAGGTCCACAAGACTGCTCTCCCTCCCTCCTCACAGTGGCTCCATCCTGGCCTCGCTGGACACTTTTAAGAAGATGTGGGTATCCAAAAAGGAATATGAAGAGGATGGCTCCCGGGCTATTCATCGTAAAACCTTCTAGTGCCCAAGGAGGAAGGTGTAGCGTTGGGAAGATGGGAGGAAAGGGGAGCCAGAGTCCTTAACCCTTTCTGGTCCGGTTCACATACTAGGCCTCGGGGCCCCCTGCATGCCCTGAACCCTCGGCAAGTGGTGCAACAGTGCTTCCCTGCAGCCCTCCCCACACACACACGCACACACAGTAACATTAGCTGCATGGATGGGAGGCTTGAGCTGGAAGATGGGAATTGAGGGGCCCAGCTTTGGGCGGTTCTGGGTGTCCCCCTTGGCAGAACCAATTAGGCCCATGACTCTCTGCTGCCCCGAGCTCCAAGGCCAGACACCCAAATACCCCCATTTTCTCCGGCAGGGCCAGGTGCCTGGATGCCTGTATACTAGCCTTGCGGAGTGGGGTGGAGGAGGGGGTGCCACTGCTTCTCATGCCACCTCCTCTTCCTGACCCAGCAGAGCAGCCCGGAGGGCCACACCTAGGCATCCCTGACCCTTTCACACTCTGTTCTCCCATCTTTCTGGATGGGTGCCTTGGTGTAGACTGAGTTCTTGTCAGTCTTCTTCCGTCCCCCATAAGGAGTCTGGACTGGGGTCCGACCCTTTGGAGCCAGAGCAGAGGATGCACTGGGTTTGGGCGGCCACAGCGTGTTGCGTTCTCCCCTTCAAAGCACTTCAGTGACTTGCTGCTTCCTGTCCTTTACACCAGTACCTGGGATAGGAAGGGTGAATGGTCTTCATTTGTTGAAGGGAAGCCACTTAATCACAAGTCAGACCTAGTGGGGGTGAGGAGGGCACACTTCCTCCTCCCACCTCTCCCACAGAAGAGGTCTTCATTTACCTTGTGGCCAGGACTCCCAACTCCCTCGCCCACAAATGTACAATAATTTAACACAGTTGCCTGAAAAAAATTTTTTTGTAAATCATTATAGTAATAATTATGGACAAGGCCCAGTGTATGGCTCTGTTTTCTTGTGGTTCTTTGCACTGTTGTTTGCTCATCCATCCCTGAGGACCAAAGCAGCACGGCACTGGCTGTAGCTCAGAAGCCTGAGATTTCAGTGGTTGGCGGGGCAACGTGGCACGGGAGGCCCCAGGAGGCTGGGCTCTCAACCTGGTGGCTGAATTCCCCAGCCTCTTTACACGCTTGCTGCAGTCTGCCAGGAGAACAGGCTGCCTTTCTCCCCTTTATTCTTGGATGGGGCCTTGTGGCAGGCGGGGCTGGGGCTGGGTGCATCCACCTCACCTGTTCTGTTTGAGCACCTCTGCTGCCTGGCTCAGATGTAGCTGAGGCCAATAGACCAAGCCCGAACTGATACAGGATCCAAGTTCAGCCAAGTCAGGAAGGGGGATGATGGGAGAGATGTAGAAGGCTGTGTCGATGAGCTGGGCTCTGAGAGAGTAAGCTGAGCAGCAAGGAGAGGAAGGGCAGTGGACGGAGAGGGAGCAGTGAGAAGTGAGTTGAGAGTGTCTACCCTCTCCTTCCTCATCAAGTACTTACATCAAGAACAGCTACAGTATGTCCAGGAGGTGCCTTGTGTTTGGAGCCAGCGGTAAACAAGACATACCTTTGCCCCTAAAAACACAGATCAGGGGAGAAAGATAAACAGGGCATTTCAGTACAGAGCTGGGGGGCCAAGGGGAGGGGCATCTAAGCCAGCAGGTGGGGCAGGCGGACTTGCACAGGTGTAGGAGGGGTTAGCCAGGTAAAGAGGGGGTGTTCCTGGGAGAGGTAAGAGTTCAAGGAGACGCCTGGGACCGGTGGGGCTAGAAAAAAAGGACATGGGCCCAAGCGGGGCTAAGGCGCAGGGCAGCGTGAGTGGTCTCTGGCTATAATGTGAGGTAAACCAGAGGGGTAAGTTGGGGCCAGCATGTAGGGGGCCTCGGGAGGGTTTTTAGCTGTGTCCTGAGTGATGGGCAGTCAGTCAGGGGCGCGTGGTTATCGTAGCTGTGTGTTGAAGGCAATGGACTTGGTGGGGCCGAGGGAGGGCCCGGAACTCAAGAGATCAGGCAGGAGGAGAGACGTCACTGAGTCAGGCCTGTCTTCAGAGAACATTTTGTGAGGCTTTGTGGTCACAGCGTGCCTGTCCCCAAGGGGGAAACAGAACTTACAGAGAAACCTTTGTTTGGGATTCTGTTTATGGTACCACTTTCTCCCAAGCACACAGGCTTAGAGCCTTGTCACTTTGCCTTCTCCCTCCTCTTACCTTCCCCACATTCTGTCAGTTGCCAGGTTCTGTTGGTTCTGTAGCGCCTTTCCCACCTGGTTTCTTTTCCACAGTAGCCACCGCCACCACCCTAGCTCATGACCACAGCTCCATCCTCCCCACCCAATCCATTTGCCCTTGGATCCAAAGCCCAGATAGCCTTGGTTCTGCCACTTCCTAATCCAAAATGTCAGGCGGTTCTCCACTGCTCGGTGAAATAAAACTGAACTGATGCGAAACTGCTGGTGAAATTGCCCTCATGAGCTATGCATTGTTGCGTTTAATTGTGGCCCTTTGGAGTCTTGTTCCTTCCCTGTGTTAGGCTTAGGCATTGTCATGCCCTGATTTGCCTGCCAGCCTCTACTCATGGTCTTCTGTCTGCTGGGAATGACTTTCCCTAATGTCTGTCAAAATCCCATCCTTTAAGGCCGAGCAACACTCTCCCTACTCCCTCTCCTGCAGGGATGGTGTGGTTACAGAGCTCTAGCCCTGCTGGGTTTCACACTGTTGGAAAAAAAGCTACAGATGAGAAGGTGATAAGGCTAGAATGAACCCTGTGGTGCTGGATGGGGATTGGAGGTAGTATGAACTCATGGCTTTTATCATACATACAGAAAGATACTGAAGTAAATGGGTTAGAATATATGTGTGTATATTTCTTAGCCCTGTCTGCTCAGAGGGCCTAGAGACAATGACACGCCAGTGGCAATAAGCACATATAGTATCCAGATCTTGGTTTCTAAATACCATTCTTCAATAAAAGGAACCAGAGGTCCTTGGAGAAATCGCAGACCTGGGGCAGAGAAAGTATAAAATGAGCCTAGCCTACAATATCCTGTGGTACTGTAAAGGAAGAAAGTGCTCAAAAAAGAAGATGGCCTCTCTAAAGGACTTGGGAAACAACTTGCAGGAGCACCCAGTGGTCAAATTTGTATTATACTGGATTATATTTGTACTATACTGGATTATATTTGTATTATGCTGGATTATATTTGTATTATACTGGATTATATTTGTATTATACTGGATTATAAGTCATAGAATAAAATAGTCATGAGTCCAGTCTGAGATCAATCATGGGGGAGAAGGGACAGTTCTTACTTCTAGAATTCCAATTAATGAATGCAGAAGGAATAACAAAATCACTGTTAGGCAAACATCACAGTTATCATTGCTGCAGGCAAAAATGGATGCAAAAACTAGTAAGCGAAAAATAAGGACATTTGCGCTGTCTCAAAGTATCTCCCCATGAGGTACTTACTGATTAAAAAAGGAAAAATAGTAACCTTACAGTGGAGAAACCTAGTAGATATCACCTTAACCAAATGATCAAAGTTTACATCCCCGGTAATCACCATCTTGACGTGGTGCATTAAGAGATGGCAATGTGACCTGTGTGTTCTTGGATAACCTCCACCTAACCAGGAGCAAACAGCAGGCGAACCCAAACTGAGGGCATTCTATAAATCAGTGGACCAGCGATCTTGTTCAAAAGTGACAGATTATAAAGACAAAGACTGAGGAACTGTCACGGGTTTGAGGAGACCAAGGAGGTATGACAGTGAAATGCAACATGAGATTCTGATCAGAAAAGGACCTTACTGAAAAAGCCGGCAAAATCAGTTAATAGTACTGTATCAATGTGAATTTCCTGGCTTCAGTCACTGTACTATGTGTTAATGTCATAGGTTAATGTTAGCAGAAACTGGTGAAAGGTAAGCAGGAACTCTGTACTAATTTTGCAACTTTTCTATAGGTCTAAAATTATTGCAAAATAAAAACTTAGAGGGGAAAAGCTCAGGCTTGAGCTAAATGGTCTGGATTCACAATCCTGCCACCACAACTAACTAGCTGTGTAATCTGGAGCTGTTCCTAGGTTCCCGCATCTCTAATATGGGGGTGATAATAATAGCACCTACCTCACGGGTTTAACAGCCTGCAACATTTTGTGCCAGAGAATAAAAGAAGTGCTACAAGAATGATAGGGACATGTCAAAAGGCCACAGGAGCCTGCTTGAAGAAGCTTCCACTGGTCAAATTTGGAACAAATTAAACATCAAAAAATAATGACAGTTATGAATTATAATTCATTGAATACAATGTGAAAGCATAAGTCTATACTGATATAAATTAATAAATTGAAAGTTCGATGAGGTACAGGGTATTGACATCTCAAAGTATTGCCCTGTAAGATACTTATTAATAATTAAGGGGTGGTGGGGACTTCCCTGGTGGCGCAGTGGTTAAGAATCCGCCTGCCAATGCAGGGGACATGGGCTCGAGCCCTGGTCCAGGAAGACCCCACATGCCGCAAAGCAACTAAGCCCATGTGCCATAGCTACTGAGCCCTCACGCCTAGAGCCCGTGCTCCCAACAAGAGAAGCCACCGCAACGAGAAGCCCACACACCACAACAAAGAGTAGCCCCCACTCACCGCAACTAGAGAAAGCCTGTGCGCAGCACCGAAGACCCAACACAGACAAAAATAAATTAATTAAAATTAAAAAAAAAAATTAAGGGGTAGGAATTCCCTGGTGGTCCAGTAGTTAGGACTCTGCGCTTTCACTGCTGAGGGCAAGGGTTCAAGCCCTGGTCAGGGAATTAAGATCCCGCAAGTCGCATGGCATGGCTAAAAAACTAAAATTAAATTTAAAATAATAATAATAATATTTAAGGGGCAACTATACAGTGAAGAAACCTGGCAGACATTACTTTAATCAAGTGACCAAAGTGAACACCTCATCAGCAAATGGACAAATCGACGTCACGTGCCCACTGAGAAGTGTCCAGCATCACCTGTTACTCCTGCCCAAGATGCATAACCTGAATCCAATCATGAGGAAACATCAGACAAACCTAAGTTCTTGGTGTAATTTTCAAAGGTGTCAATGTCACAGGAATCAAGGAAAGACTGAAGAACTGTTCCAGAATGGAGAAGGCTAAAGGGACATAACAACTAAAGGTAACAGGAACTGGATTCTTTGCTATAAAGGACGTTATTGGAACATTTAGCAAAACTTGAACAGGGTCTGAGGATTAAATGGTAGAAATGTACAAGTTGTAATTTCCTGACTTTGATAGTCATATTGCAGGTATAGGAGAGAATGTCTTTGTAGGAAATGCACACTAACCTGTGATGGGGCATCAGACAGCAACTTACTCAAGTGGTTCCAGAAAAAAAGATCTTTGTACTTTCAGGTTGTTTAATAAATACCATTAGAGAGATACCTGTATTCTTGCCTAGTGAGGAGAGACAGGATCCAATTTCTAAGCTGCTAAATGGCTAGATGGAGCCCATTTCTACCCACAGGCAAGGGTCTGGTGCTCCTAGTGAAGGGTGTTACATTTCCTCTTTGCCCCTAGGGCTCCCAGTTACCAACAGGCAAGAAAAAGAGCTCTTCATGCTTTTGTGCTTTTGTGGTTAGCCTGAGGTAGAGGTTCTCTGCCTTGGCGGCATGTTGAAAGCACCTGGGGAACTTTATAAAGTAATAATGCCTGGGTCTCACCCCCAGAGACTCTGCTTCAGTGGTCCGGGTGTGAGCCGGGTATGGGGGAACAAAAATATACCCAGGTGATTCTAATGTGCAGCGAAATTTGAGACCCACTAACCCAGGAGACAGGACTTGAATTTACTGATCTATTGATGCCATTAAAGCATTACAGTTCTATAGAAGTCTGTCATGGGTCTCACTGCACTGAAATCAATGTGGCAGCAGGGCTGTGTTTCTTTGTGGAGACTGGGGGAGAATCATTTCCTTGCTTTTCCCAGCTTCTAGAGGTTAACTGCATTCCTTAGCCTGTGATCCCCTTTTTCCATCTTTAAACCAGTAACAATGCATCCCTCTGACCATTCTTCCACAGTCACATCCCCCTGACTCTCATTCTTCTGCGGCCCTTGTGATTATTGGGCCCACCTGGATAATCCAGGTTACTCTCCCTATTTTAAGGTCAGCTGATTAGCAACCTTAATTCTGTCTGCAATCTTAATAACCTTTTACTGTTCGACCTAACATATTCACAGGTTCTGGGATTAGGACATGGACATCTTTGGGGGACCATTATTCTGCCACCACAGTCTGGAAATATATGGAGATTTTTCTTTCTTAGGGGAAAACTGGTTAAAATTTTTAAAAGAGAAAAGCAAGGGGGTATCTAAGGCAATCTACAGATTCAATGAAATCCCTATCAAAATACCAGTGGCGTTTTTCACAGAACTAGAAGAAATAATTCCAGAGTTTGTATGGAACTACAAAAGACCCTGATAGCCAAAGCAATCTTGAGAAAGAAGAAGGAAGATGGAGGTGTCATGCTCCCTGATTTTAATCTATACTTCAAAGCTACAGCAATCAATACAGTATGGCACTGGCACAAAAAGACACATAGGTCAATGAAACAGATTTGTATCAAAAAAACAAACAGTCTGCCTACTGAATGGGAGAAGATATTTACAAATAATATATCCAATAAGGGTTAATATCCAAAATGGATGAAGAACTCATACAACTCAACATCAAAAAAACAAACAACTTAATTACAAAATGGGCAGAGGACCTGAATATTTTCCTAAACACGTATAGATGGCCAACAGACTCATGAAAAGATGCTCAACATCACTAATCATCAGGGAAGTGCAAATCAAAACCATAATGAGATAACATCTCACACCTATCAGAATGGCTATCAGCAAAAAGGCAACAAATAACTAATTTGGCAAGGATGTGGAGAAAAGGAAACCCTTGTGCACTATTGGTGAGAATGTATATTGGTGCAGCCACTATGGAAAACAGTATGGAATTTTCTCAAAAAATTAAAAATAGAACTGCCATATGATCCAGCAATTTCACTTCTGGGTATTTACCCAAAGAAAAAAACTAATTCAAAAAGATATGTGCATACCAAGGTTCATTTCAGCATTATTTATAATAGCTAAGATACAGAAGCAATGTTGAGTGTCCAGCAATAGATGAATATATACATATATGCAATGGAATATTACTCCACCATAAAAAAGAATGAAATATTGCCGTTTGTGACAACATCGGTCGACCTAGAGGGTATTATGCTCAGTGAAATAAGTCAAACAGAGAAAGACAAAAACTGTAAGATCTCACTTACATGTGGAATCTAAAAAACAAAATGAAAATAGACTCACAGATACAGAGAACAGGGGAGGGGGGTAGGAGCAAAATAGGTGAAGGGAATTAAGAGGTACAAACCTCCAGTTGCAAAATAAATAAGCCATGGGGATGTAATATATGGCGTAAAGAATACAGTCAATAATAGTTTAATAACTTTGTATGGGGACAGATGGTTACTAGACTTATGGTGATCATTTCATAATGTAGTACAACTGAAACATAATATTGTAATATATTTCCATTTTAAAAGTTAAAAAATAATAAAGATGCAAGGTGGGCTTGGAGATGAGGGAGGAAGCAGATGGAATAAGTAATGATGTGAAGAGTCAAAAAGTCCACTCTAAGCAGAGTTTTGACTGGAAAGGGAGACGGTGAAAAAGGAAAGAGGATGCAGGAGGTGGGCCAGACAAGAGGGCTTGAGGGTAGCACTAAACCAGTCTTCCTGACTGGGAAACTCTTGTTTATAACAGCATTTAAGGTGGGAGTGGTAGGTGGCTATTTAGGTGTCCCCTTCCCAGAGAATGGCCCTGAATGGCAGATAAATGCTTGGACATTTCCTGGAAATGAGATGACAGCCAGGAAAGGAAGCAGTAGCTTTGTACCTTTAAGAGGAGTAAGGCAAGATGAAGGGAAGAGGCTTCCCTGGTGGCACAGTGGTTGAAAATCCACCTGCCAATGCAGGGGACATGGGTTCGAGCCCTGGTCCAGGAAGATCCCACATGCCGCGGAGCAACTAAGCCCGTGCGCCACTACTGAGCCTGCACTCTAGAGACCGCGAGCCACAACTACTGAGCCTGCGCGCCTAGAGCCCGTGTTCTACAAGAGAAGTCACCATAGTGAGAAGCCCACGCACCGCAACAAAGAGTAGCCCCCGCTCACCACAACTAGAGAAAGCCCATGCACAGTAACGAAGACCCAGTGCAG